GCAGTCTCGACTAGAGCTTTCTTACTTGTTTTTTTTTTTTTTTATCATTTTATTTATTTTTTTTATTTTTTGGACTGCAGTCTATTTTTATATTTTTTCAAGCTAAATGCTTTTAGCCGCTTTGCCTGCAAAACTTGGCTGATACGCTTGATAAAGTTGGCCGTTGTTGTCCTTTGTCGACCCAACTATATATCTATCCGACTATTTACGTCTAATGGCATAAGTAATGCAAATAATTAAGCACTAAACAGCTGATAACAAATCATCAATTAAATAGAACCAATTAAATCTAATGATCTGCTGCTGCTGCTGCCACACAGAAAATAATCAAAAGACGAGAGCAAAGCGGAAAGAAAAGAAAAGAGATGAGAGAAATGTAAGGAAAAGTGCGCTAATCAGTGAAATGCTCTGTGGGAAAATGTGCGACAAAAGGAACGTGGCCGAAAAACAAAGTGTTCGCAATTTCTCTTTGTGGTCAACCGCCATTAACGTTTATTACACCCTCAAATCGTCCACAAAAAGCAAAGAGCAATACACTGAGCGAAATGGACAGCAACAACAACAGTAACAACAACAACAATCAAAGAAAAACAATGTGCACAAAAACAAAACAACAAAAAAATATAATTAAAAATAAACATTACGCAGTGACAGACAATGAACAGCAAAAAAATATACAATATACTTATATATATACATATATATGAGTATATATATGTACATGTTTGTAACAATTAAGTATGTTGCAAGAGAATGCTATATATCGACTAGCTGATACTCGCTTACTTGGATTATATAAAGAGAAAAAAGGGCTTAACGAATTTGTAGGTTAATTCAATGGTAAATGTATTTCCGAATTTGTTTTTTTTTTAATTTTTTTTTTTTATATTTCGCGGGCTTGAGAAGTTTGATGTAGCTTGGAAAAGTTGAAGGATATGGGGTGAATATGTCATGTTCCGCAAAATCCAGGCTCATCTGCTCGGCGGAAGACCTATGCATCATATGATTATCGTTCTTCACGGTTTCCAAAAATTTATATAATATANTTTTTTATTTGTAGAATCTATTATAAAAACTCAATTTCAAAGTATTAAAAATAATAAAAATTCGTTGAAATAATGTCAAATTCACTTTTGCATTTTTTAGTACAATTAAAACGGTTCCATTAATTCTATGACTATAGCTGAGTGCTCATGTGCATAAATGTACCTATGTATATCTGTAAAGTTGCATTGAGCGGTGTGGCAACCTGGTTACGAAATCGTAAAAGTATGGCAGCACTAATACGAGAAGAGTAGTTTGAGAAGAATGTTAATAGACATTTACGCCGGTGACTAAAATAAGTTTAAGTAAACTCAGTTACTTGAAGCTCTGTGAATAATATTCAAGCTTTATATTATCAATATTAAAATATCTTTAAAACACGCAATGTTATACCCAACAATGGTTATGATTATTTGACATATTCATAATAATATGTATATGAATATATTATATACTTATCTATTCCAACATATATCCAGTATTACCATAAATCTACACTCACAAACAAATGTCTAGCTAAAGCACATTAAACTAGCTCCAACCAATATACCTCAAATCGCCTGCCGAACAGGCAGACACAAAAAGAAATTAAAGAAACAAAAAGAAGAGAGACAGTCCCAAAGAAATGTGTAATAAAAGGTGAAAATTGCATTGCACAACAGGCAGACGTCGTTCGAGCTGGACGCTAAGCCTGTGCGTTGTCCTTGCCCCGCCTGGCCAGGCTGGCGAGCCCTGCGTGTTTTCGGCGTCTAATTGAGCGTTTTAGTTATGCTAATTGTAGGGGACGCCTCCGCAGGCAACGCTGAGCACTCGCCACCACCCACACTACCCCACGGCTCCACTATGGCTCAGCAGCAGCAGCTCATCTTTATTGTTGTCATTTCTTATAAGTATTTCGAGTCCTGCTGCGGCCGAAGGATCATTAATGAGCTGTCCGTTTCGGGCCGGAACGGGCGTGAGTTCTCCGAATGTAAATAATTAATTGCGTAATTATATGGAGCAGCCGGATAAGCAAGACTATCATCCTCTACGTACTTGATACTTGCGCTTAAAGCGCATGATATATTTATATTAGGTGAAGGAGCTTCAACATGAATTAAGATTTGCATAAATATTGTTATAAACAAAAACATAATTTACGAACAATTTTAAAAATAAAAATGAAGCAATTTTTTAAATGCTAAAAAGAGATTTTTTTAAATAAAATTAGTTTTTTATTTTTTAGTTGGAAGCACTATTATTTTTAATTATCAATGAATGAATATGAATATTTACATATTTTTTATAAAAATAAATTTTACTTACTTTACGTCAAGTTTCCCATTAAAAAGTCTCTTCAAACTCTTCTTGTTTCGCTTGTTTTTTTTATTTTTGATTATCTACCGTAAATACTTATCAATTATACATTTTACGTTTCTTATGCTTTTGGTTTTTGTTTTTTCTTCATATTATATACAATTACATATATGATTTTACATACATATAGGCGTATTTATAGACTTACAAATTAATTGCTCTTCTTCTTTCACTTTACTCTTTGGGGATTGTGTTCTGTATGTATTTGTGTAATGTATGTATGTATGTATGTATATATGTATTGTATTTATGTAGTTATGTATGTGTATCTGTCTGTATATAACTTTATATGTTACATATAAATATCAATCATTTATTTATGTATGTATATAAATCATTTTGACTTTCGTTATATAAAT